TTTGGCCACGTTTGTGGCTCCATGTGTGAAGTGAAGCAGGGGCAAGCGTTAAGCGCTAGGACAGAAAAAGCGCCTGCGCCCATATTGTATTTGCGTGTCAAAAGTGTGGTCGCGATCGCCATCCTCGTAACTGTCATGAGCTCTGATATTTTTTTTGGCGTGTCAAAAGTGTCAACAGTCACACGTATCAGGCGGGTCGCGGTCGCCATCCTCGTAACTGTCATCGTTTTTGAGCTCTCATACTTGTCTGGCGTGTCAAAAGTGTCAACAGTCACAAGGATGAGCGTGACCCCCCAAAAATAGATGAACCACACCAATGAACAAAACCAAGGGGTGAGCCACACTTGTGAAAAAAAACACTCCGCCGCACCAGAGTATTTATGCCTACACCGTGTAAACGCTCGTGTTCCAAGGGCATGGGTCACCAGAGCATCGTGCCTAAAGCATAGTAACATTGGTGTTCAATGCGTCAATGCATCAATGCGTGGTCAATAACAAGCCCCGTTCATTGGAAGACAGTGGCTTGCTGGCCCCAAGCACGGCCAAAAAACATCTCGTGTGAGAGCCACTACTCCGCGCAATCTCAGGGCCTGCACACCGAGATGGAAGGAATCCCTGAAGTAGGTGGGGCTTAACAACAGCAATACCTACCAATCCAAAGGCAATTTAAGTATCCGCAAGAAAGAGCATTCCGCCTCACCACAAACCGTGCCAAAACAACAAGCGACAACTGCACCGAACCCAGAACCCCCAGACGCAGGAACCATGAACAACAGCTAAACCTCAGCAGCGTGAGGGGCGGCTGTGCTGCTAAGAAGTTGCTAAGCGCACCTACCAAACCCGACCGCATCAAGCCACATGTGTGATTGTGCTCCTGCCCTCAGCCTAGCTGATCCCACGTTGCAGATACCACGCGGCCAAGGAAGGTGATCCTGGATAGCAGCTCATCTGGGTCTTCTGCTGCTAAGAGCGTATCGCTCGCCCCCGGCGTTCCTTGCCAAGGGGCTAGGTCACAACTGCAGAGAACATGGTGTAGGTCGCAAGGGCACTCGGCAAGTTGCCTTGGTGTGTCAGCTCTGCTGGCAAGGATGGTAAACCGAAAGGCATTCGTCAGGCGTGCCAGCATCCACATACGGCAATAGCACCATTGACTCCTGCTCCACACGACTTGGCTGAGCATTGTCATAACCAGGTGCGGCACACTGGGGGTGGGGTGACAAGGCCTGCAGTGCGCCGCTGACCAGGATCTGGCTTGTTCCTGGAACCACTCGAGCTCGAACCTTTGGAGTTCGGGTCTTACGACGTGAACCTTTCAGCCTGCTTGGGCGCTTCCGGGCCTGCAGCCCGGAGAAAAGACAGCGCAGGTTCATAAGCCAGAAAATCAGACGAAAATGTAAACCCACTTACAACCAGCTCAGCATCAAGCAACCAACTAGTGCCCTTAAAGGAGGAAACGGCTGAAAAAGGTTTCCATGCTTTAAAGTCTGGCGTGAGGCAAAGAGCCCTCGCACGCACCATGGCAACCATCAGTGCCACCCGCGTGCTAGGCCTTTCTGTTCCTCCCAGTTCGTGCATCAACCTGCTCCGGCCCCTGGACCCAGGGAGACCTCTCGATTCCCAAGAGTTCTTTCAGGACTAAGTACTGTGCCTGATCGAGACACTTAGCAGTGGCAGGCCAACCTTGTCTGTGAATGGCCATTGCTATCATTGCAAAGAATGCAGTGGGCTCCACTCTCCTTAGCAGCTCTTGAACTTGAAGAGATAGATGCACTGAATTATCCCGCAGCTGTGTGCAGAGCAGTTTTGCCTGATTTGTGTATTTAGCAATGCAGCTTTGCAGCAAAAGCTTAAAGGAAAGGTAGCTGTCTACGGGGGCTCCCAACACGGACATAGAATCCATCACCTGAGGTACCGAACCCTGAACAAGAACGGACAAGGAATCAGCCCTCAACCGCGCCCCAACGCAGAGGACGCTCTGGCTCTTGCTTCCCTCGGCAAAATGGTGCCGCCAGAGTTGACAAGAATTATTATCTGCTATGCAGCCCTCATTGATTCCAAATGCCGTGCTCTGCAAAGAGAACACGTCGTCCACAAACTGCATTGTTGATGGGGTGATGCTAGCTAAGGACTCCAGTGCCACCAGTTTTTCAGAAATGTTCGCTGGAATTCCAGGCGTGGGGAAGTGATCAGGGTGGCCAGTCGTGCCATGCAATTGCAGGCCCACTTGCTGTAAGATTTGAAGCAAGGCCTCCGGGCGCACACTTTGGTCAGCCTGGTAGTACGCAGAACAACACTGCAGGACAGTTGTCACGTCCTGGGCTGTATATACTAAACCTACCCCAGGGGAGCAGCCACCAAGATCAGCCAGCTTTTTTTCCAACCAAACCAAATTAAAGAAGTGAACTCTAGCCCTCTTCCCTTGTCCCACAGCAAAATCAAAAAGCTGCCTAACGGGGCCGTGCAGGAGTTTAACCCGGAATTTTTCTGACGAGAAAGCCGCATCCTGCAGTAACCAGTCACGTCCTTGAACCTGTGACTGCCACAACTGCAGTAGGCAGGCCGAACGCCAAGTGAGATCAAAGCCCTGCCAGAGGTCAGCCTTCTTGATCAGAGTAGGCAGTCTTGCGCCCAGCTGCAACTGAGCAGCAGCGACAATAGCCGATGCCGCTAGCAAAGCATCACACGGGCCTCTGTGTTGGTGGCCCCCTACATATTGCTCGAGTATCCCCTTGCAACGGAACAAGCAGATGGCGTCAAAAACTGAATCGATTTCACATACGTCGCGCACTGGTCGAATGTTGGATACGTCATTGACCAGGACTGGCCCCCTTTTCCTCGTGGGGGTAACTTCTCGGACCAAGACTCCGGAATCAAACATAATTTCCCAACCAAGTTAACAAGGGCCTAAGCCAAAACAACCCCTATCAACCCCTACTCAGCAACTAAACCTAATGGCAGTAGCAGAAGCCTTCCCAACTGCGGGGTACATTAGGGGCTAGGGGTGCGGTCGTTTCTAGCGAGGTTTCAAAAGGGGAGGAGGCGCGATGCGGAGGGTACGCTAGTGGTACGCTAGGGGTGCGCTAAAGTCGTCAAGGGGGCGGTTCTAGCGGGGTTTCAAAGGGAGAGGGCGCGATGAGGAGGGTACGCTAGGGATACGGTCGTCAAGGGGGCGGTTCTAGCGTAGCGGGGTTTCAAAATGGGGGAGGCGCAATGAGGAGGGTATGCTAGGGGCATGCTAGGGGTGCGCTCGTCAAGGGCGGTTCTAGCGAGGTTTTCAAAGGGCGGGAGGCGCGATGAGGAGGGTACGCTTCAGGTACAGAGGTGTGGTCGTCAAGGGGCCGGTTCTAGGGTACGCTAGGGATACGGTCGTCAACGGGGCGGCTCGGGGTGCCATAACCTTGTTTTTGTCGTATGTGGCAATGGGCTTCTTTGTTGAGCCGCCTCCAACCACACGGCGCTGCTCTTCGAACAATGCTGCAGTTTGCAGCGTCTAAAGTTTGAGGGTGGATCCAACAGGGAACCCTAACAAAAAAGCACACAAAGAGGTAGCTGCACAAAACTTTGGCCCCTTTCGAAGGTTGATGTTGTATGTTTTTCCACCCTGGTCTTGGGCTGAAGGTGTTAGCAGCTTTTTCTTTTTGTGTTTGCTTTGGTGCTGATGTCATTGCACTCGTGTAATGTAGATTTTTCGCTTCAATGGTTTTGGTGCCCATGTTGCCTGCGGCATGTCTGCCTAACTTAACTGCCTGTTTTTCCAAGCTGGCACGCAGAGTGGTGCATGACTTGTTCGATAACATTGCAAGACATACACGATGAGCATTGTGACGGAAACTTTGGTAATTCTGAAGGAAGTTGAAGTTTCGCTGAGCAAGCTAGAGGCACCGGACGAGGCACGCATTCTTCAGCATGCCTTGTACAGGAAAGGCAAAAATGACCGTCCAACTTGGGCTTCAGGCACTGGAGAGTCAGCGAACCAGTCTGGACCTGAAGTGTCGCCAGGCCCGCATTGCTTTTTCGGCATAGATTTGGACTGCAAGCTTTGCCGCGGGTGCGTTGCGAGATGTTAGTATTGAGCGGCCTTTTGCTACCTTGGCCGCCAGCCGTGCAACAGCTGGTCTTTACTAGATGAGTTTGGGGTGTGCGTCGGACAGTGGATGGACACAGAGCTGACTTTCGCAAGAGCTCTTAGGCAAAAAGGTCTGCCATCAAAACTGCAGAACTGCAGTAGTTAACCGCTCTAGCAGACTGGATACCACGTGAGTAGGGGTTTGAGTCGTGTTTTGCTGAGAAGCAGGTCATGGCGGAGTACGGTCAAGTGCTCTGCTCGGGAAGCCTGCCAGTTCAATTGACTGACAGTCCCGCGTGACCTGCTAAGGTGCAAGAAAAGCTAGAGATAAATCGACACCAGCAGCTTTGCGAGCGTCTTGCAGGCGTTGTTAGGCAGCAGCTTCACGAGGTTCTCAACTTCTATCAAGTTCCTGAGGCAGTGCAGATGGCGCCTCCCCACCTTGGATGCTAACAGGGGCCAGCTTGAGTTTGGCGGAGTAACTGCTTCGGATCAAACTTTCAAGCTGGGGAGGCACACGAGACGAGCGTTGGCCGACTACTGATGTCTGCAGGCACGAGCTCGATTTTAAAGGGAAGCTTCTCAAGATGTGGGTCGCTGCGCAAGTTACCACTGCTGCGGCGGCAGGTGCAGCATCCTGGCAGGGCAACAAGGACCTTTGCTGTTGCTTTTCTGTGGTGTTCGAAGTCTCGTCCTGCATCCGCTGCCACCCAGGAAGTGCAAGAAGATCGCTTCCGCATGCTTGCCGTGTTTGAGTTACAAAGATGCCCTGGTGCGGAATGCTTTTTTGCTTCAACGATGACATTTGTTGACTGTATCCCCTCACCTGAAGAGATCGTGAGCTTGCCATACTCAATGTACCTCAAGAACAAGCATTCAGCAGTCAAATTTGCCAGTCACCGATGTTGAGCTACAAGCACCTGGAGGTCAACGTATAGTTGGTCCCTTGATCGCAAAACTCTCTTACTAAGTTGAAAGGGCCATCTGTGCCAACCTGGAAAGATGAAGGTGTTCTGGTTTTCGATGGGCACTCTGGCAGCCTGTGTGCCGAGCCCTTTCAATTTCCTTCAAGCTTGACATGTCCAGACTCATACCTATTGCCCAAGGTTGATATCATGATGGATTGGCTTCCAAGGCTCACCTTGCGCTTGCCACCGTTGTTACCTTCTAAAGCTCTGTGACAGGAATCTACAGAAATGCTTGTCAGCAAAACCGATGCTGACGGAGGAGCATTTGAAGCAGGCAGTCTGCAAGCTCAGCTTCCTCTTGTCGTTACAATGGGCTTAACATGGGTGGCCGATCCTAGGTCACAGAGGCATGTGTCTTAACGGATGACGAGTTCTTGATCAAGGCTGGAAGTGCTGCAGGTGGGTTGTCTGCCTGATTTCGCCAACTCTGTTGGCCAGTGTATTCGGTTCGGGACAGGGGAGCAACACTGCATTTCTGCCATGCTGATCTCTGAGCAAACGGTCAAAACGAGGTTGACCAGGTATTGCTGTACTTGTCACGTGTGTGGTCAGGCCCGCGAGCGTGAGGCTTTAGATGGAACCACGATGATCCTCTGCCTCGTGTGGCCGGATGAAGGACTCGTGCCAAACCTTTGCAAGCCTGCGACACGCCAGTTTTGAATTCAAAGGACGACGTGGAGAGCAGTCCAAGGCCAAGAGCAGGCTAGGTCTGCAAGGCTTCACTTTGCCAGCACTCATGTATTTGCAGCATGGGTAGAGAAAGAGGAGCTGGATAAACTTTCGGGAGCGTTCTTCTCATTTAATTTGCTGACGATTCTATGCAGACAGAAGTACTGTCATTCCAAGAATGTGGCATGTCTTGAACAAGAGGACAAGAATTTGGAGCAGCGCAGCTTCTGAAGACCTCTGTGCGTGCTTTGCCGAAAGCTTGTGGAGGGTTTTTCTCTTGGAAGCAAGTCATGCAAAAGAAACGGGGAGAATAAAACAGACAGAACATGCACGCGCGTGGAAGACACACAGATCGAATTAAACGCAGGATGAAAAAAGCAGATGGAGTGTGAACGCAAGTGGAAGACCCCACGAAGCTCCTCGTTCCTTTAAAAGATATGTTATTTTCATGGAGAGTTGAACGGGAGTATTGGCAGTAATGGCACAAGTTCACGCTGCTTAATTATCGAACGTCTCGCGGACTAAGATGCTTTTGTGCAGTTTTTGGGGTTCTGCGAACATCGGCCCTGCCGAACGCTGGAATCTCTCTGGAGTAGGAATCCTTTGTACATGACAAACCTGGGACAGCGGACAGCAAAGCATGCCATGATAGATGATAAGCAAAACGATTTTGAGTGAGTTGCGACGCTCACGCGTGTGCCAAACCTGCGCAATCAGCTTCCGCAACTTGCGACTGCGATGCGCATCGGACACGTTACCATGCCGAAGGTGGTATGAACATGTGCAGCTTCTTCCCGTGAGTTGCAGAGACACACAGTGGATGTTCACGAGCCAACTTTGACCCCTACCTCCGACACTGGAATTTTACTATATCGCTGAGTTTTTTTGGTTAATGCCCAAGCTTTTCATTGCAGCATCTCTGAAGTCGTAGTTGTTTAAAATCTTTCGGGTTTTTAATAAAGTCCGCCTACTTGACTAATTATGCTTAGAATTAGATTTTTTGCAATCGTTCCGGTTTTGAATAAAATCATTTTCGTTTTTAAAACAGGTTTGTTCAAACATTTATTCCTTGCTCGATCTGGTGTAGGGAGCTTTTTGCAAACCCTTTTTTGACTGCTTTTGCTGGAGGTTGGAGTCTCAAGTTCGCTGGCCAAACGTAGCGCGCAAATCCTCCTGAGAGCGCCAGCTGGCTGCGAAATCGACGACCACCATTTGGTGGTAGCTGACGGGGGCCCATGCTGGAAGCGGCCTTTCCGGACATTCCGGAACTTATTTGTTGGATTTCCTCGGGAGCTTATTTCTGAAAGTCTTATCGCCAAGGACCAACAAAAAACGCAGCATGAATGTGTTGTCTTTTGTAAGCTGGGCTCTTGGGGCCATTCTTGGATAAGGGGTACAAGGCCCGGGAATGAACAGAGGGACCCCATGAAGTTAATGATGCTGGCTTTCAAAGGTGTGCAGGAAGACTTAGGAACAAAAGGGGCTGCCATTCTGCTCATAACATGCACGAGAGGTAAGTTGAGACCGGGCAGGCATGATGTCAGATTCCGGGCCGGGTTTCGCCAGATCCGACGTTGTTGACCAAAACAGTCAGTAGGCTGCTGACTAACTCAGCGGGAAGCCCTTATTGCATTTCATAATGCCAAGCAAGCCGGTCATGAAGGCTCCGAATGTTGTAGAACGTGCTTTCACGCATGCTTTTCCGCCTATGGGATCCTACCACGTGCAAGGATCCCAAAGTCGTTTTGTGGCTCTGCAAAATGCCGTCAAAAGCTAGCAAAAACGTTGGGGCCTCATGCGCAGTGTGGACAAGACTGTCTACAGTGAGACAGTGAGAGCACATATGCGGTGTACCGCATCGGCATGGCCAGAAGTCTTGCTGCAGCAATATCTTTCAGCACTAAAGTGCCCAAAATTTGTCGTAACTGGGTATACATGTGTCCTGCCAGTCAGTGGGACCTTACGATAGTTTCTCCAACAAGTAGAACTTGCTTGCCGCTACCATGTGTCAACTGGCATGCGCTTGCGTACAGGCTTGATCTCAGGTCTGCGGATTTTTCAGGGCCCTTTGAGCCTTGAGCTGCTGTTAACGCTAACAACTGAGCGCCGTAATTTTGCTTGGTGATATTGCCTCTTTGGTTGCGGTCAGTGTTGTCAGTTGGTTGCGGAGTCTGGTGCACGGTGAGGAAGCCCTCAAAAGGCGGTTGTCTTCTAAGAGAGACGACGGTCAGGCTGCGCTGGTCCAGAATCGACTCTTACAGCAAGTTGACCTGCGAAATCCCCTCCAGTCTTGTTGCGACTTCGAGGACGAGTTCGTCCGACCCCAGCTCGGAAGAGAGTGATCAGAGAAGATAGCGACGTTGAGAGTTCGAGCGGATCCAGGTCACCTGCGCCGGTCGGTGCTACTGCGTCATCTTTGTCTACTGCCAGAGGATTGGCTTCTTCTAAGACCACCGGCGCGACGAGCTCTACTTTGCGATTCTTCGCTTCATCTTCTACGCGTTGTTCCACATCGCCTACGGCAGGTGTAGGCGATGAGCCGCGCAGCACCAAGCGCATTCGCAGAAAGCCAGCAGGCATTTAGAGACAGAGGCCTGCCTCCAGGATGAAATGGCGAAAGGCCCGAGACTACGCTGAAAGTCTTCCTCCAGGACATGAGCTTTGTGAGGCGGTGATGGATGTTCTCAAGCGTGGAGTTATAAGCTTGTGCAGTCCCTGGGCAGGCAGCAACGGAGGCAGTTCAATTGCTCACCGTCGCCGAGTTTGTCTCCGACAACTGCCTCAAGACGGTGCTCAAGGCGCTGAAGGATGCATTCGCCATGTGCCAGGAGACGGCCTTGCCTTGGCCACGGAGTCAGCCATCTTTGGAGCGGCCCGCTCCCACAAAGAAAGCGTCCCTAAGTGCATCGTGAATCAAGCGAAAGAGTGCAGGGTGCTTGCTGTTCCGGCAGGCGAATCCGAGGAGCTCGACCCTGACGACGAGTTGTGGCCGGCAGAGGAGGAAGGCGAAGACTATATCTATATGGGACGTGGATGCCAAGGGAGACGCGCAGGACGAGGATGAAGCCATTGACGAGGACGACCTGATCGACGTGCTGGCAAACTGTCAGGATGTTCCCCGCGCGCTAAGCAGAAAAAGAATGCTCGCCGCGTCTGCCCTCCGCAGTTTCCCGGAACAAAGGGGAAAGAAGGGCAAAGCGCAGACCGCTCCTCCGGTCTACTTCCACATGGCAAAGGCAAAAGTGGAGGGAAGTCCTTCGGCAAGGGAAAGGGCATCACGGTGCAAGAGTTGAAGCTCAGGACTAGATGCCAGTCCTGTGGAAAGGTGGGGCAGTGGAGTGCCCAAGTAGCCGCAGCTCAAGGGGGGCGATTTTTTCTAAAACTTCGGCTACAGCTCAGTCGATTTCTTCGTCAGAGGGAACTTCATCTCGCTGGGCCGGGGGAAGCCAAGCCCTGTCAGCAAAGTTCTTTCGCAGGGAGCAGCGCCGCAGCGCAATTGAGTTTCCTTGCGTCTGACAGTTGCAGTTCCTAGTTCCCTTTTGTTGGTGTGATAACATCCAGTGCTGAAGCCATTGGAGACGCTGTTGCGCAAGAGGGGCTCATTGGACGAGCCCACAACTTCAAACACTTGGGTGACCTCGTTAGCGTCTGGGTTAACTATCAAAGGACGGTCAAGTTTAATGGCCGTTTTTTCTACTTCCAGAGTGCGGAAGGACAAGCCTCTGTAAAAGATTGGCTTGCTCGGATCTAAACCATGTAGGTGCGAGAGTCTCTGCCACTGGATCCCTTCCAATGTACTCTTTTGGGACCGTAAGCGAAAACGCTTCATTATTTCAATAGCATTTGGCGTAATGGGCCTCTCCTCACACAGTGCATGAAAAGCTAAACGGCCTCGCAGCATTTCATCACGGACGTCTTGCTTACATTTGCGCTGCGCCATGAAAAGCCAACGCTGCTCTTCAGATCGAAAATTTGACTGGGCGAACTCAAGCAACGAATTAAGATACTCAATGTCCGGGCAGTGGGTTGGTGCGAATGGGATGCCATGACTGAGGAGGAAATATGATCTCTCACTGCCGTGCTGCAGTATGTACGATGCCCAGCCCCTAGCGCCAACTCATTCCCCCGATTGGCGCAATAAACAACGCCTTTGTTTGCAGCAGCAGCATTGACCGCTTGTTCATGGTTGTTTTGAAGCTTTTCATGCTGACTGGCTACTGCCCGTGCAGGGACCCTTGCTGCTCGCGCCGATAGCAAATCACCGGGCCCAACGCAGGTCCCAGCGCAAGAATATACCACGTCAGGCTCAAACCCAGGGCTTCGGCCTGAAAATCGCCACTTGCCTCCGTAGAGCCATCTCCAACATGTAGACATGCTACCAGGTACATGTACATCCTGTGCTCTAACTCTTTCAGGCCGTACCTTGTTGATTGTGACCCTTGCCAGACTACCTCTTTCAGCCCTCTGAGCCTCATTCAATCTGAAACCGCTCAAGAAAGCTGCTGTGCGCCTTTCCTACCCACAGTCTCTGGATGCAGAGTTTTTTTGACAATAGCCGGTTGGCCCAGTTGGCCCAAGAAAAGCAGAACAATTGTCCGCTAAAGTTTCGGATTGTCTCGAAAGTGACAATGTTGACGCTGCAGCCCATGCTTGGACTGAAGCAGCTGAAGGTTTGTTATGCGATGCGTTGCGATTCTGAAAAACCGCGTTCTAGCCAGCTTGGAAGGTCTTGAGTTAAGTACACCTGCGTCGATCCCCCTGCTATACCAACTTGCCATAAGGCCAGGGACGCTGAAGCCCGTGGCCTAAACAGGGCCTACCCTTGTTGTACATTTTTGGGGCCATGGAAATGTACAATCACCCCCGCTGCGCTGGAAATATACAGCAGAGTGCCCCAATGGTGCAGGGCAGCGCTTCTGCAGACACCCGATGGCCCACCCCTCGGCTCTCGCGCAGAGCGTCCGCCAGTGAGATCTGAAGCACGCGTGGTACACCTAGGCCCTAGGCCTCAGCTTACACACGCCAGAGGCCTC